AGGGGGGGGGGGGGTTGTAAATGCTTTTCTAAATAATAAATTGAGAATTTGAAGGTCGATTTGAGGTTGGAATTGAATAATTTTTGTATGGTTGGACTCGAATTGGAATGGGTTCTCAGAATTTGTAAGTTTGGTTGTGTTCTGAGGTGCGAGCCCGGGGTTGACCTTTTGAGTTGACTTTTTAATTTCATTAAAGATTGAATCTTTATTATCCGAAATTATTTTTCATGGCTTTTATTTATGATATTAAGTTATTTTTGCTACATTCGAGTCGTCTGCAAGTTGTTTCACACGGGAATGGATTTTTAGTGGATTGATTTAGCTTGTTCGAGGTAAGTATCTTGCCTAATTTTGTGTGGGGGAACTACACCATAGTGATTGGTTGATTAAACTATTAGAATTACGTGGAAGACTTGTACACGAGGTGACGAGTTTGTACACGACCTTATATGTGAAACTTTTACCCGTTTAGACCCTTAGGTTTCGTGTAACTCTCATAGATAACTGATAAAGATGACTGAAATAAAATGAAAGGAAGAAGAGCCAAGGTCTGCGGCATAATAACAGCTACCTCGAGGTCTTCGAGCAGGTACTAACACCTGATCTAGCAAATATCGCGTCCACATGTACCTGGATCTGCACACGAAGTGTAGAGTGTAGTATGAGTACAACTAACCCAATGTACTCAATAAGTAACAGGACTAACCTTAGGCTGAAGAGTAGGATGGAGATGGTTGCATCAGACTCAGTTATCAAAGATATTATTCCGGTTTGTCATAGAGATGCATCAGTCTTATTTGATCCAGGCTCCACTTATTCATATGTATCATCTTACTTTGCTCTGTATTTGTGTATATCCAGTGATTCTTTGAGTTCTCCTATCTATGTGTTCACGCCTGTGGAAGATTCCATTATTGTTGACTGTGTGTATCAATCGTTTTTAGTTATTATTGGCAGGTTTGAGACCAAAGTTTATCTATTGTTGCTTAGTATGGTAGACTTTGATGTTATTTTGGACATTTATTGGTTATCGCCCTATCATGCTATTTTCTATTGTCACGCCAAGACGGTGACATTGGCTATGCCATGTTTGCTGTGGTTGGAGTGTAGGGGTATTTTGGATTATGTGCCTAATAGGGTGGTGTCTTTCCTTAAGGCACATCGGATTGTTGGGAAGGGGTGTGATGCATATCTAGACTTTGTGAGAGATGTCAGTGTTGATACTCCTACCGTTGAGTCGGTTTCGGTAGTGAGAGACTATCCAAATGTATTTCCGTCAGATCTTCTGGACATGCCGCCTAATAGGGATATAAATTTTGGCATGGACTTGTTGTCGGGCACTAAGCCTATTTCTATTTCACCATATCGTATGTCGTTAGCAGAGATGAAAGAGTTAAAAGAGCAGTTGCAAGAGTTCCTTGATAAGGGTTTCATTTGGCCTAGTGTGTCACCTTGGGGTGCTCGGGTCTTGTTTGTGAAGAAGAAGGATAGTTCTATGCGCATGTGTATTTATTATCGGTAATTGAACAAGATTAAAGTAAAGAACATGTATCTATTGCCATACATTGATGACCTATTTGATCAGTTGCAGGGTGCCAGAGTGTTCTCAAATATTTATTTTCGGTTATGCTATCATCAATTGAAGATTCGGGATCCAGATAGTTCAAAGACTGCTTTCAAGACTCAGTATGGTCATTATGAGTTCCTTGTGATGTTATTTTGGCTGACAAACACACCAGCAACATTTATGCACTTGATGAACAGTGTATTCCAGCCCTATCTTGACTCATTCATCATTGTGTTTATTAACGACATCTTGGTGTACTCCCGGAGCCGAGAGGTTCATGAGCAACATTTGAGGATTGTGCTTCAAACCTTGAGAGAAAAAAAGTTGTATGCAAAATTTTCAGTGACAATTCTAGCTTGACTTGGTGGTGTTTTAGGGTCATGTGGTGTCGAGTGATGGGATCAAGGTAGATTTGAAGAATATTGAAGCAGTGTAGAGTTGGCCTAGACCGTCTTCAACCACTGAGATCTAGAGTTTTCTTGGTTTGACATGGCATTACCGTCATTTCATAGAGGGTTTCTCATCTATTGCTGCACGTATGACCTGATTGACCTAGAAG